CCGCCTCTCTCTCTCTCCAGCCCTTTAATGTATCCTCCCCCTCTCTCTCTCTCCAGCCCTTTAATCTATCCTCCCCCTCTCTCTCTCTCCAGCCCTTTAATCTATCCTCCGCCTCTCTCTCTCTCCAGCCCTTTAATCTATCCTCCCTCTCTCTCTCTCTCTCCAGCCCTTTAATCTATCCTCCGCCTCTCTCTCTCTCCAGCCCTTTAATCTATCCTCCGCCTCTCTCTCTCTCCAGCCCTTTAATCTATCCCCCCCCTCTCTCTCCAGCCCTTTAATCTATCCTCCCCCTCTCTCTCCAGCCCTTTAATCTATCCTCCCCCTCTCTCTCTCTCCAGCCCTTTAATCTATCCTCCCCCTCTCTCTCTCTCCAGCCCTTTAATCTATCCTCCCCCTCTCTCTCTCTCCAGCCCTTTAATCTATCCTCCGCCTCTCTCTCTCTTTCTGGTCCTCTGTCCACCTTTATCTCCTACTGCTTTTTCCTGCTTTGTTCTCGTCTCCTCTTTCCCCCTCCCTTCATTTACAACCAAAAATGCAACCTTTTAGCCTAACCAGAAACGTGTGAACACAAGCAACCCCCCCCCCCACTCCCACCTATCGAGTCCGATGCATAGAAAACGCGCATATATGTTTGTGTGTCAAACCAAGCAATCCAAACGAAACCAAACAAGGTACTAACGATACCAGCAGAAGTCTTTAAGAAACCATGTTTCGTTACTTCAGATGGATGAGGCATTCTGTGGGGGTGTGAAAGGGGGGGGGAGATGGTTCGTTATATCTTCTCGTTCTTGTGAAAACGACTTCGTTATATACAAGAGAGATCCGGGTACTTTTATCTAAGATTTTCATCGATGCTTTTTTTTTTTCCTTCTAAGGTAGGGGCGCTTTTAATGTTGAAAGGAGATTCCCGATTCCCCCACAATATAGTTTCAATGGGGGTTCCAGGCAACTACTGTAAGGTGTAAAAGGGTTTCAGACCCCTATTGTAAGGTATTAAGGGGGGTCTAGACTCCTATTAAGGGGGTTTAAGGTTTTCTAGAAACCCCACTGTAGGTTTTAAGGAGTTTCAGACCCTCACTGTAAGATTTTAAAAGGTGTTTAAAGGGTAAAACCGTAAGGTTGTAAGGGTTTCTAGATCCCTTAACATCTGCCCCTAATCATTGTGTCTTTGTATGAATTGATTAAACAGCTGATGAGCTCCGAAGCACTAGGAGATTATTCATAACAATACTAACCGTGAGTTGTAGAGTTACGAACCTCCTAAACTGCTTAATAAAACGTGAACAAAGCCGCCAGGAT